CAATTCAAACGGGATCGAAATATAATCTTTCTCTCCCCATTGACTTCAATACATCATTTTTCCGAAATAAGGTCCCATGGGTCGGAAGTAGATGGGCGGGACTTCGCCTCTCTATTTCCAAAGCCACTACCTTACGAGAATGCCCACTAGTTTATTCCTTAACAAAATTGTTCTTGTAGTTGACTTTGTCAAGTATAACAGGATTCATTATCATCTTGTAGGAAAAACACAGAGCAGCAAATCAAGAGACGCATTGATGTTACTCTTAATTTGGGCCCTCATTAATTTAGCTGAGAGAACTGAATGACTCAGCATGACATGTTGTGAGGATTTGAAAGAAAGTAGTGCTTTACAACAGGCTTGGCAGAATGCAAAAACTAGTCTGTTGGACTAAGAAAAAGTTAGAGACAAAGTCCATTAAACCTACAATGGCATTTCAGATGTGGTTTAAAAATGTTAGTTATTTCAGACCACAGAAAGTGCTTTCTCATGTTCATGTCCGAAAGCTCTCAGTGAGAAGGGATGTGTTTGCACATTTGCTATGTTGCCACCTGGCCTTAGACTGCATTCGTCTACTCCAGTTTCACTGCTCTTGGTTTTGTACGTCTTGTCTTTGCTGCAGTACAATCCTCTCAGGAAGTTTGTTGTTGTTGTGTATGTTTACCTTCTTTGTGGATTTTTGATTCTGTTGTTGCGTAACGGTGGTCTGAATGCCAGCATGTTTCTCATATCCAATAGTGCTTGCAGTAGATCATTCTGCTCCCACAGCTTGATGCTAACAGAGTGGGGCTGTGACAGCATATGTGTGGGTTGTAAAACTGGAATGATAGTGGAACTGGGCATCTGTGTGTCCAATGGTGCCATTATAGAAGACTATACATTCATCAGCTCATATCTACAGATGACACAACATATCAAAACAACTAGAACCACATGTGCCATCCTGTCTGCAGAAAGAACGGGGGTCATAAAGGATGAAGTCATTATTTAAATGTTTTTTGAGCAGACATGTCACTAAACCAAGTCTTCAAATGCCAGTACTCTCACTGCCCACAATGCAACCAATCTGTTTGATTACAGAAATGAAAACCCTGGATGCTTTGTCATTTGTCATATCAGCCTTGTACTGTGCTCAATATCTTCATCCACTCACCCTGACACTATAGTCAAATACACAGTTTAGATTACTACATGTATTTGTGTTATGCATCTGAATTGGACAGAGCCCAGTACAGGTGCATCTATGATATGTGAACGCGCCAATATGGTTCAAATTCCTGCTGTGATTATTGAACGAAGTGGATCTAACCTCATCTCATTTGGGTGTGTGAGTGTGTGTGAGTGTGTGTGTGTGTTGCCTTGTATAACCAGAATAAACATTTGGTATAAGGCATTTAGATTAAAACTAGACAGATCTAATTATTACCCAACAGTGAGTGTCTCCCACTAACATAATACATCGACATGGGTTAATTAACTGTTGCGATTTAGTCTCCTGTGTTGCATTTCTCTAAATTACTTCTTTCGTCTTGGTTAGATCAATACCTCCTACTGCTAACCAGTATCCATGACGCTGGTGTTTGGGTCATGACCTGCATGGCTAGAGTCTCTGACAGCGGCGGTGACATGGCCGCAGGGCAGGGAGAGATACGTGGTCCTCAGGACTGAACGGTATATGTGTGTGTGAGAGTGAGTGAGTGAGTGAGTGAGTGAGTGAGTGAGTGAGTGAGTGTGTGTGTGTGTGTGTGTGCCTGTGTTATGACCAGTTTAATTTATAATTCATGATATGGATGGCCTATCTTTCCTTTGAATTTTCCCAAACTGTAGATATGTAGAAATACAACATTTAAAATACTGTATGAGCAATGGAGATTACTATTATCTGCTATTTCTAACTAATAGTACTAGTACACGTAGTGTTTTACCTGCATAAAAAACAAAACAAATAACAGTTAAAGTGGACCTATCATGCTATATTTGAATAATATAGTGTAGGACCATACCTATATAAGGCATATTTATACTTTTTTTTTTTCAAAATACCAAACAGATCATGCATTTTAGCCATGCCTCATTTGCTCAATTTGACATTTTTTAGATCTGTTTTAGCAAGGGTTGATTCTGTGAGAACAGCACCATCTACAGGCCTGGCATATGTACTACAGCGTCTCCAGCGCTTTCGAACGGCAATGGCCGTGGCTGTCTCCTCCTGATTGGTGGAGTTGGCCCAATAGCCGTAGCGCCACTGTCCTGACGTCAGGACAGTGTTCAAATCTGGATCAGTTTTTATCAGATCTGTTGCAGCCCCTTTTTTTTAGAGATTTGGGTATGGAGGAAAATAGAGAGGGTTGTGTTTTCTGACACTTGGTGAGTTCCCTGGAACACCGGGGACACATATTCATGTATAAAAGACGTACAAAAGTGCATTTTGCATGATAGGTCCCCTTTAAATGCAATGTGTTTTGTAACTATTATGGCCTTTTTTGCTGCAAAAAACTGCATTGCGTTTTTGGCTTTTGAAACCCTTATCCACATTTTCTTATTATTGGGAGGTATGGCCAGGGAAAGTAAATGGTTATAAGAATATTAATAAAAAATGACTAGACCTCATCTTGTAATTGTTTACTATATTGGTGAGTGGTTGTTGGTTTGTGGTGAGTGGTTGTTGGTTTGTGCATCCTGTCTGATGAAGCATCTGTCAATTTCCTCAAGATGATTAACCTACACTGAGCCTCACTTGCCACAAATAAACACATGACGGTGTTCTCAAATCAGACACAGCTCATCTTCCATGCATGTCACACTTAGGAGGAAACAGCTACAATCAACTTTGATTGCCACAGTTGAATTTTAATATCTTGTGTTTTAAAAAAAAAAGGAAACCGACAACGTCTGGTTGTCATTCTGAGTAAATGAGTTTCTAAGTACGCAGATTATGTGAAAAGAACAGTGCAGTTCACTTTGGCTGTCACCTCATGGGACTAAAACAGTGATGATGTAGCATGTTCACTGCCTGTATGCTTGTAGAAAGACTGTTCAGAAGGGAATTTGGGCTAATGCACCATGACAAGACGACGACTCTGAAAGCACCTGCTTGTTTCCACTGCACCTGTCACTTTTTTTGCCGCTAACTTTACCTTCCACTTTCACACTGGTAGCATTTCATTTTAAATCAGTTCAATTAATTGTATTTTTCTGTGTTTGACAACAACAAGTTATTGGATATGGACAAAATACCAAAAAACAAAAGACAGAGAAAGAAGAACAGAAATAACACTGATCTATCTTCAGCCTCTAGTCTGCACACTTGACAATGGAAATGTGGAAGCAGTGTCCTTGGGTCACTCAAAACATTTGACCGAACAAAGCTGCTGAGGACACGTGAGCTGCTTTGCTCTAGGCATTCACATCACACACAGTCCTAACAAACACCCATTAATATGCCTGTTATTGTCTATGTTTAGCTTAATTTTGGTGACATCTACATCACAAAATATTGTTGATACTGTTGCTTAATGTTTTATTGTTTGCATTTAAAAACACGTACTACTAGCACAATATAAGAGAGAGAGAGAGAGAGAGAGAGAGAGAGAGCGAGAGAGAAGGAGAGAGAGAGAGAGAGAGAGAGAGAGAGAGAGAGAGAGAGAGAGAAGAGAGAGAGAGAGAGAGAGAGAGAGAGAGAGAGAGAGAGAGAAGGAGACATATTGCAGTGTAACAGCATTATCAAAGTAATGTATGAGAGTCTGTGATAGGCTACAATTTTCTATTTTAGATTATGAACACTTTTTTTTTCACAAACACCACCTCAAGGAGTCCTTGGTAAGAAGTTACACCCCTCCAAAGGAGGAGCATTAGCATACTTACATAAGGAAATTGAAATGGGTACTAGAGCACCTTACAAAGGACAATTGTAAACCTCGGGATGCCTTTTCTGGATCGGTTTCAAAATATGTCAAAGACTTGTAAAAGCAGATATATTACAGAAGAGAATGTACATATATCATCTGGCACAGGCTGCTTCCACCCTATTCAGACAAACAATCAATGTATGTACTAAATAAGCAGACAAAAAACAATGAATAAGTTGCCTTTTTGGAGTTGACAGTATTTTGTTTTTATATTGTCAAATCAACTGGGCCGTGAGAGCCAGTGTTCAAGCAGCAACAAACTGACAGTAGCTGTCCTTGGTGCTGATTGGTGGTTTGTTTTGCAGATGAAACTAATAGAGCTGTCCAAGGTGCTCAAAGCGTGACTGCATTCCACTCAGGCCGGTGGCTCGTTTAGGATTCTAAATAGATCTGTATGAACACACACACACACACACACACACACACACACACACACACACACACACACACACACACACACACACACACACACACACACACACACACACACACACACACACACACACACACACACACACACACACACACACACACACACACACACACACACACACACACACACACACCTATTTGTATAATTACTTTATACAAGAGTATCTTTGTCTGCATTGTATGTAGGAAAAGTGCTAGTGAAACATGATTACAACTATCAGTCTTCTATGTAACCTCATTGTGGTCACTGACACTGCATAAAAGGGAATACTTGCTCTTCATTAGTCTGTTAGGGACCACAGGATGTCACCTCAGATCTCATTTTGTAAGCCCCCACATTAAATTGTGTTAACTGCTGCTTCACATTATTGGGCAGCAGCTACACCAGCAGCCAGTAATTACATCATAACTGCAAAATATGATTTTGTCATTAAAAAAGATTATATAACATTTCATCACAAGGAAAATACCAAAAGTGTGCCGGTGGTGAGAAATAAAACCACAATTTTTTTCTGTAGCAGCAAGCTAAGGTTATTTCCCCATTCAGTGTAGCCCTGCTTCCGCTCGGTGAAACCACGCATGTGTTGTTCCGTGCTGCAGCAACGTGCATCAGCTCCTCTCTGACCCCACTGTTAATCTGCATCCAGACTGTGGCTCCACTGCTTTTTTCAGCAGCTGATTTTAGAGAAGCATATTACGGGGGGGGGCTTTGCCGTCTGTGGCAATTTTTTAGGGCCCTGCCCGGCTGACGATTCGGCAAACAGACACGCAAAAAGAAAACCGAGCGACGCGAAATCAAGACTCGCATCGATTTTGTTTTGGCTGATTTCACTTCACCGTACGTCCGCCTCGGGTCTAGATTTGCAGACCCGCTACTGCTAACGTGCGTAATGTATCGTAGAGAGGAAAGACAGTAAATAGACGGACACGTCCATCTGCAATAAAGAGGAAACGAAGATGGTGACGATGGCTTCACCAAATTTAGCCTCCAAATGCTCGACAGCAATGGCGAAGCCTTCCCTCCCCTTGAAGCTGTTTCTCTGGGTGTTTATTGTCGTTAATCTCCCGACAAGGTAAGCTATTAATGAGTGATATTTCCTCTCCAAATCATGATTCTTTGTCGGCTTTGATGGGTAGCGTGTGTCTTATTTTAAAACACATCGTTTTGCGGTTCTTCCCATACAATGCCAACACAGCCCTGCTTTTCAGAGGGATCCTGGACGATCTAGTCTTAATTGAACAAATCAAGGAATACTGTAGTGTAAATACTGCACGTTTAATTGTGGTTCGACATGGACGTGTGATCTTTTAGATTTCTACAGCGACACATGCATCGCGTTACTTGGAGACGTCGTGGGTTATTTTGTTCACATAACATAAAGGCGAACAACGGATACAAGCTGCCTTTATTACTCGGATGTGGAAATAAAATAATTGAATACCGGGCATTTTGCAGATAAGCGAATCTATGAGCAGACCAGTATCTCACACAATCTGTCCAGCGTTAGAAATAGCATAGTGACAGGCTAATGTGCTTGAAGCTAAGGCTGCATATAGTCTCTGCTAAGCTGTCTTTAAGGACCACGTCTATTCTAAGACACTAAAGCCTCATTATTAAACGCAGGTGTCGGATGTGGCCGAACTCGAACAGCTATTTACTAAAAATCACTTGTTATAAAGACAACTTGAGTATGACTGAGGGTACATTTCATCCCACGTATTTGAAATAAAAAAGCATTTCAAAATGGCAGACAATCACACAGAAAATGCAAGTGTAAAGGCACAATAAGGACAAGGAGAACACATATGGACTCATCCTTGTCTTGCACACAGACACACACAAGCAAAGGACTGCCATTTCAGCTTTACTGAGGTGCATACTCGGGTTTATTGAGAGAAGCTGTTCGGTTGTCCCTGTCAAGACATTATTCCCGTTTACTAAGGAGAGAGAAGCCAAGGGGAAGGGTGGCAAGGCTCCTCGCTTCGCTCTCGTCTTGTGCTGCTTGAGGGTGAAAAATGGAGGCAAATAAATCAGACGACGTTCAATCACCGTCATACTGATCGCAACCTCAGGGCTCCCTGCCCAGCCTCCATTGCCAGGCCTGTGTATTTTTCTAATTGTATGCACAAGTAATGTTCACATTATGCATGAGTAAACACTACACCTTTCCCCATTCATTTAGAACCACAATTGAGGTGTATAGACAAGTTATGATTGAATGCATTGTGCATGGGTGTTTCAAACCTAATGAACTAAGATTTAACATTCGGGTGCTCCTTAGATAAACATGACAAGGCCAAATCACAGCTGTTTATGTAAACACTCATTCATTATGTGTTGCTAATAACTTGCTATGCCCCAATGTCAGCAAGATATTTTGTCTTTTCGAATTTTCATGCAAGTCCTGTTTAATAATTAGCTAATTAGACATCTATTGCTTGGGAAGATTGCATTGGACGTCATTTGTGATTCATGACTTGTTACATAAGACATCTCTCAAGCTCCTCTGGCATGTTTCAGTAATCTATGCTACTTTGTGACTCATTGACAGTTACTATGTGTAGTGATGTCTGATCGCACCACCATACAGTAGCCTCCCTGTACAGCCTCAAGTAGAATAGTATAATACATTTACAGATAACATACTAATGTTTTGGGATTATGATCCATCGTCTTATAATTAGACTTCATATGTAGGCCCAGGATCCACTAGGATATGGCCATGACAGGAGGAAGTGATGTCAGAGTGAGGAAGAATGCTGGTGTTTTCTTTTATTTTGCTAAGTGGTGTTTACTCTTCTGCAAACTCCCCTCGAGCATTTTGAGAGGGAAGCGAATATTAGAATATAATAACATGTTGTGAATCGAACAATGAAATCTGTGTTTAGTTACCTAACCATAACCACACCAGAACATATACTAATTGAAATGGGTCATGGATTAAGACTGATTTTGGTTTAATGGACATACACATACGTATGGGACAATAGAACATGTCAGATTTCAGGAATGTTGTTAGTGGAAATAATTGTTTGATTATAAGAGCTAATGAAATGTAATGCCTGCCATAATCTGACAAAGAAAGGAAATACACAACATGCTTTTAGAAGGGTTAGCAGGCTATTACTAGATGTCAACAATGTATTTTCTCAATAGATAGTAGTACAAACTCTACATTTCAGGGTTTTACAATGTCACACCATAATAATGATCTTATTTGCTGATTTAGTGTTGTGAAGTTAACTACTGTATATCCCTCATCACTTGAAATGTCAATGTTGAAAATACAGATAATGCCATGTATCAATGCCAGCAATACAAAATTACAAAAGGTGACAAAAGCAATACAATATCTAATGTAGTTGTGGTTTAGAAAAACCTCCAACAGCAACCTAACCAAAGGTCATCTTGCTTAACAACAAAAACCAAACAGATACCTTACAACACACTCACCCATATCGTTTCCTGTTGTTTGCATTATGTGTATTTGAGACAATTAACAATAAAGAAACGTAAGCCTTCAGCTGTTACAAATGACTTCTAGATGTGCACTGTTGATTTCTAGCTAAGATTGCCGTGCTAGCAAGATAATGAGATTGAATTGTTACGTACAATTATAACAATAACAACAATATTATTTTGAGCGAGGAGGAGTGTGGCTGATGTCAGACACATTTCAGAAGAGCACAGATGGTATACCAAATGTATAGAAAAGTCGAGCAAGCCACTTTTGCATTCCAGTTGTACCTAATACAGGTACACTTCATAAGTAAGTGCAGCTCCATCCATTTCAATGGGAAACTTATAGTGTATTCATGGATTCAGCCAAAACCTCCCTCATTATCTGCCTCTTGTCATTACTCAGAAAGGCATGGGATGAAACTGTCAATCTGTCATGTATGTAATGACTACCATATGTATTTATGTCTCAGAATTCCTACAAAAGTTGTTGATAGCCCACAGATGTCAATCGTATTTGTTCCTATGGGGATTTAAGACATTTTGACAGAACAGTAGGAGATGACAGTCCAAGCTCATAGCTGTCTCTAGTTAACCATTTTAGACAGTCTGTCATATTCACTCCCAAGAGGTCTTAAGGTCAGAGTGATTTTATATTTCCGGGATAGAATTTTATGAATTAAAAACACTTGTGATTAACCCCAATCACCCAACCCAGTCAGTACAACAAGAGCCCTGAAGTAGGGTCATGGATATTAGTCCATAACATGCCTTGTTATTTCCAGGTGGCCTTTCTGAAGTATTTTCACTTTGGCTTTTACTAGTTCTGTCTTTATTCTAAGGAATCCTGTTGATAAATATAGTTGTACTACCCGAAGTCCAAAAGGGTTTGTCCATTTCTATTTTAAGGCCGCAGGTACACAGCAGGTGAATGAGGATACTACAGTAGAGAGAGGATACTTTTAAAACTAGTCCACAGAAGCATGCATGGAAGACTTTACTACTAAACGTTGCATTCGATTTAGACACACTGTAATATTCCAGTTTACAAGATGCTCGAAGCAACACAATTGACATGCAAATAGAAAGCTTACCCCACCAACAATTGAACCCTGCTGCCAATCCCCTAATCATTTACAAGCCTCTTCATTCCACCAATGTTAGACAGCATCTTTACTACAAATTCATATTTTCATGATGCTGCCGCTCAGGGTTTGTTTACATCATCGTTAAGTGAAACCTCACTTTTAAATAGTCCAAGAAGGTATTTCTGATTGGCCCTTTAATCGTGATACACAACATCGACCTAGTTTACTTTATTGTACTTCATCACTGGCAGATACAAGTCAACATCGCAAGCCAATGTCATCTTGTCTATAGGATCTGGTTTAGATTGGACTGAGTGAAGCCGAAACTGGTTCTCATTGGCAGGGGTCAGTTAAGCAATCAGGCTGAGGGTCCAGGTGATGTGAGTACCATAACTGCAGATGTTTTTTTCGATATTGACAGCTTGAGTAAATAAGCAGAAACACAATTTGAATCCACTTTGAATAACTACAGTTTATTAACTAGTAACAAGTAGCCAAGGCATTTTGTTTAATTAACAGTAGAGCTTGTGATAGGAGGGTTATTGAAGCAATGTGATGTGCAAGATTGGTTTGTTGTGTTGTTGCCATGGATGAAAGGCAAATATTGTGTTTGCTGTTAATAAGTATGAGCATTCATTAGATTTGGTTCCTTCATTTGAAACATGCACTAATCATAGCTCAGGGAACTTGATGTGGATGCTAATGGGAAGCACATAGCCGTTTCTTAGCTTGTACTGCAGGCTTTGCCCTACTAAGGCCATCTCATGAATGTGTAAAACTGAGGAAATGGGCAGGTACCTACCGCTTTACATGAAAACTGAAAGTACTTGCTTTGTAGTACGGACATATTGCATATTTAACTAAAATTGAGTCTTTCTGTATGTATGAATGTATGTATCTAAATGTACAGTTTGTCTTACTTTCTATTTTCCCTCAACAACCATCCATTAGATTAACTTCACACTTGCTGGGTATTGCTGAGAACCCCAGGAACTGCAGTGTCGAGTGTGAAGTTGTCTGTATGATCGTTGCTCGACAAAGCTGCTAGTAGCAATACCTGGAGGGCAACTAATGGGCCTGTTCCGATCGGGCACGTTTTAAACGGGATGTAAGAGTGTTTTTTGATGACAGCACTGAATGTGGAGGGTTAGTATGTGCGAATATATCAGATTGTCCTCAATGAAAGTATCTGTGAGCACAACACTTAACTCCAGTGCTCTCTATCAATATATACACAGCCACTGACATACATATGCATGAAAAACAAACACTAATAAGCTCACAAACGCATAACAGCATGCACACATACGCACACTGGCATACCTCTCTGTGGATCTTCAGGTACCAAATTAGTCGGCAGAACTTCAGATCTGACTGCAGTGGAGAACACATGGCTCTCCCTTTGATCCGCTTGTCTTTGGAGCATTTCCATATACTGCGAGATGAAGATTATGCTAATGCAGTAGCCTAAAAAAGGAAAACACAGACGATAAAAATCATACACCCTTCTATGACCTGTTTATCGATCTACCCATATATCCACCTATCTCTATCTTTTTGTCTATCCATCCTTATATAAATACATGTGGACTGTTTTTGACAGAGAGATATACTCCCTGGATATGTATATGTTTATAACATCCAGTAAGGCCTATCTAAAAGGTTCCACCTGAGAAGGGATATTAAGATTTAATGTGTTGGGCATTAGTGTTATAGGGGAGATGGATGGCACTTAATGGCACTTAATGCAGTCTCAGAAAGAGTACTGGTCAAAACATTATTCCTTGCACCCAGCCTAAGAACATGAGAAAGCTATCACAGCCTCTATCCTTCTACTTTACCATGGAAACGGTGTCTTTCTTTTCTCACCATTACTGGTTCTTTATTATTTTATACAGAAGTATTTTTACCTCTCAATTCTCTAAAGCCGAAAGATCCCAACTTTTTCACTGTTGCTCTTTTGTGCTACTGGCAAATTCTCAAAATCCTTCTTAATTTGAGTCTCTCCCTTCTGTCTTGTTAAGTTGTTTCTGATTTCTGTGTTCTGTGATTCCAAAGTCTTTGGTCACCTGAGGTACATTCCCTTGTAACAAGTGAAGTAGGCTTCTATTTAAGGCATAAACAAGGAATATTGCGCAAATTGAAGGAGCTGTAAAACATGTGTTTCAGCCATATTCCATTAAATATTTTGTATTTCATTAGTTAACATAACCAAAAAAAAGCCCCCTAAAAACAGCATGGTTGAATGCTGGTGTATTAATATTAAGATTAACACCTGGCGACATGTTGTTGTCAGCATATTAATTGGCCCTTATGCCTTGCCATACCTTCATGTCTATTCTGGTCTCAAGACATTAAAAAAAATGTCTATGTAACAGAGACAAAACCTTTATTCCAGAAGTATAATTCTCTAAAATCCCACTTGTCTGTAGGATAAAACTGGAACAACTTTCACTGCTTTGTGAGGGTGGTATTTGTGGTCAGGGGCTTTTGAAGCATCATTATCTTTTCAGTTTGAGACTTCTGAACTTAGCAAGTAAACTTAGCACAATTGGATTGTCTTGTCTAGCCTCACAGAAGCTTGGGGGGTTCTAAAAGTGACACTCTTGATTCACCAAAACAAATGTGACGTCAAGTTCCTCAACACTGACATCTTAGAATTTTTCAAAACAAAGAAGTTATTCAAATGAATGGAGCTGAGGCTGTCAATTCTTCAACTATGGGCCTCACAGTAGTATATGCATTTCTAACATTTGTTTAGACTTTCCTGTCATGTTTATGCAATGAAGGGCCGGCCATTTTGCGAAGCAGTGGGAAGACTGTAATCCCACATTGCCGAAGTCATTTTAGTTACATTTTACTTATTGTAGTAGTAACACCTAGCTTGGGTAAATGTATAGACCTTCATTAAATATATTATCTCTTCGATTTACACACGGCATCTATTGCACGTCTGTCCGTCCTGGGAGAGGGATCCCTCCTCTGATGCTCTCCCTGAGGTTTCTCCCATTTTTCCCTTTAAACTGTGGGGTTTTTCATTTTTTGGAAGTTTTTCCTTGTACGATGTGAGGGTCTAAGGACAGAGGGTGTCGTATTGTGAGGGTCTAAGGACAGAGGGTGTCGTATTGTCATACTGATATTCTGTACAAACTGTGAAGTCCACTGAGACAAATGTAACATTTGTGATATTGGGCTATATAAATAAACATTGATCAAATCCCAGCTGGCTGCTTTGAAGAAAGCCAACACAACTCAAAAGTGTGACCATAATTAAACTTTATTCTTAACAGAGGAATATATTCATCTTCATGATGAAGCCGTCCAGGTGGGCATTTAACATTATGTCCAATTTACTCTACACTAATGCTAACATTAGCTGTCTAAACTGATGGGAGTTTGCATGACTGATTCTAACAAAGTTGCTGACTATGCAACCACATTACCTAAATTAAGCATTACCAACACAATTGTAGTGATGTAGGTTCCATTGAAAATAAACTTGATTTGATATATATTCTCCAAATTATCTAACCACCCATCCCCTAGGAGACAGCATAATTCCCAATGGCCATAAGCTCTCTATATATCTATGTTATGTCCACTTTACTGAGCATAATGTCCTTTTTAGGCCATGATTGGTCTCTATTATGTCATTTCTGCACATCTTGACATTGTTCTATGGCGCAGATAAACTGAGAACAAGGGGATTACGAACAAATTAACAAATATGATGCAAAGACCTGAGGCAAGTCTCACCTGATATGGTACAAATACATGATAACAATCGTCTTGAGATGACATTGCTGCAACTTGGAGTTATTCTGTTTCACGATAAATCATATAAATAATTCAGACATTTTTCTCACTGTGTTGCTTTTTTATAAGACACGTGGCTATATATTGATTGCTTGATTTATTTTCTCTCTCCTTCCTGCAGCTCCTTCCAGACTGAGGAAGATGATGAGAGCGCTAACAAGACGTGGGTGCTGACTCCCAAAGTGATCGAGAGTGACGTCACACACATCCTAAACAGCCTACTAGACGGATATGACAACAAGCTAAGGCCTGACATTGGAGGTGGGTGCTGATCTGTTTAGTCGCAGAATCATAAAGAAATACACCTACAGTTGTACGTGCATTGCTACATTTGCAATTGAGCACTCATTCTCCTGAACAAAATGCTATAGAAAAGCACTTTACGCATTAACTGTAGAAAATAGGGACATATAATCTCTGATGTCACTTGCTGATTGTTAGAAGGAGCCTGGAACCTGCCATGTTGTCATTCATTGAAGACTATCCATGATCTGCAGACACAAACTGAGAGGAGACACTTTAGACAAACTTATCTAGTGACACATACTTACAGAGAGCATTTTTAGTAAATAAAACACGTTGACTTTTAAGAAGCTGAGACAACAGTGTTGTGTAGGAAGGTTGAAAATGCTTTTGGGCCATTATTCAGGAAAAGCAAAATGAATCTATGCTGTTGTTTGCATTTGAAACTAAATTCACATTGTGAACAACAATCTTAATCACAGGAAAACATGTCAAGACATTTATTTTAGTCTACTTTATTTTGACTGTTTTAAATTCTACATGGCATTAAATCTAAATGGACAACTGACTTGATAGCGACTAAAAACACAAAGTCAAGGATTGGATACTGTAGCTCAGACTTGTGACCTTCTTGTGACTTGATACATATACATATGTATTAGGGCTGCTCGATTATGGCAAAAATCATAATCTTGATTATTTGGGTCAATAATTGATATCACGATTATTAAAAACGATTATCCATTTACTTTGAACATCCATTTATTGGAGAAAAAAATGTGAACAGTATGTTTTTAACAGTTGATTACCCTGAACTTTAAGTATAATTCAACTGAAAAACCAATAAAAAAATTTAAAAAACAAATAAAATAAAATAATCGTTTTATTTCGATTATGTTGTTTTCATAATCGTTGCAAGCCAAAATCGTAATGCGATTAAAATACGATTAATTGAACAGCCCTAATATTTATACATATGTAATACATACTTGAATCTTGCTGCATAAAGGCACCAAAGGAAAATGGTACGCCATATACAGTATGATCTAATCACTGGCTGTTAAAATTAAACACTGAGTGTTTAATATGCACATAATTTAGTTAATTATTACGCCATGCTGGTGAGTACACTGTGTCCTTGTGTGTTTGCCTGGGTCCATTCTATGTGTGTGTTTGTGTGTTGTGTGATGACAGGCAGCCGGGCTCTTTATAAAGAATGTGTACGTGTGTTTGTGTACATACATGCATTATGGTTGGGAGAGCGGTCCGTCATGGCGCTGCAAGCCTTGTCTTGTGAGAAGTAGACAAGTAGCTTACTCCCTTCACTTTGACAGACAGCTGGGCAGGGCTCCCTTGTCAAGTGCACATTTATCCTAAAGCCTGTCACGTCCATCTGCACGAGCAGAATATGGAGATATTCAGTACCCTTGAATACTTGATTCATGGATCGGTATTCCTGGGAAAACGGGTTCAAGTCAGAATATGTTACATACTCTTACAGAAAGATACAGATTTATCACTCTATATGCTAGCCGTGAGTTGCTTCGCCCCTACCTCTGTAGGGGCAAAGGGTAGTGCTGTATTAAAGTAGGAAATGGCAAGAATGGTTTGGAAAAAATCGTCTTATCAGTTTATGTCATAGAGTTGCAGATGAAACTCTTACCATTTGTTTGCTCAAATGCAGTGTTTTGTCTTGCGGTAGTGTACACAAACTTGAAGAGGGAAACAGCAACTGTCATATGAAACACACACCATTAAAACAGAATACCAGAGGTGGGGGACTCGAGTCACATGACTTGACTAGAGTCAGACTCAAGTCGCGTATCTTTGGACTTGAGACTTGCTTGACTAACATTGATAAAAGACTTGACTTGACTTTGACTTGGTATTCATGACTTGAGACTTGACTTGAGACAGATGACTCGAAAGGACTTTACTTTTTAAAATTAAATATTTGCATTTGTTTTTGTATTGTACGGAGCCCCTAAAGGGCAATGAAAAAAAAAAAAAGATACTGTATCTCGTTTGCACGAGAAAGTTACCGGAGCGCCAAGTAGGAAGTGGAGCACACAGGAGACAGCCGTTTCATTGCAGACTGTAATGTTTATGTTGGGAAATGGCAGTCCATACATTATTTTAGATATATTTCGAACTCGGACTCTCATTCACTTCATGAAATAGCTACAGCACCAGGAGGCAGCGGGACGTGTAACTCCGCCTCTGAGAAGTGCAGCACCAGCGCTAGGGCTGCTCGATTATGGCAAAAATCATAATCTCGATTATTTGGGTCAATAATTGTAATTGCGATTATTAAATGCGATTATTCATTGACTTTGAAAACATCCATTTATTGTACTTTAAAACAAATACAAATAATAATTTGAACTTTTTAACTGTTGAATTATACGTTCAGGGTAATCAACTGAAAAACCAATACAAAATAAAATAAAATAAATTATACATTCATGTCTACATTTAAATAAATAATATCAAAATAATAAATACCAATAAACAAGATCAACAAACATGTTGCAGTGCACTGTCACAACCTGAAAACTCCTTAACATATAGCCAACATTTTGGTAAAGCATATTCAACATATTCCACTCAGTTAAACATTAAAGGCTGGCCCACCGTCATGGTCCAGAAGTAACAGGAAATAAATGTTGAACTACAATTTAAGACCAAATAAAAATGTTTTGGCCACCATGGCAAATGCTGGTTGGGCTGCTCATCTCATCTCTTAAAGATTTTTTGCTAGAAACACCAACCTGTTTACATGGTCTGGTTTCAGAGATGAGTGCAGGCAGGTGACAATGTTGCCACCGGTACTGAAGACTAGGGCTGCTCGATTATGGCAAAAATCATAATCTCGATTATTTGGGTCAATAATTGATATCACGATTATTAAAAACGATTATCCATTTACTTTGAAAACATCAATTTATTGGAGAACATTTTTTTGAACAGTATGTTTTTAACAGTTGATTACCCTGAACTTTAAAGGTGGGGTAGGTAATTTTGGAGAAACCGGATCGCTAAAATTTGAAAATACACAGCCGGAAAAAATCTCCCACTTCCTTACAGAGCCCCTCCTCCAACACACACGAGCGCGCACATGACCAATGAGGGCACGAGATAAGTTTGTGCACAGATGGAAGGCTGACAGGCAGGTAGGCTATCCAGTTATTTTAGCCGGGCCGGCTCAGATGATTGGCCATGCTTTTTACAGTACTACGGCTTCCACAGATGACATTTTTTATGGATCTTTTGTCAAAGCACTTAAGATATTCATTGCTATCGGGATGTTAAGAGCATTCCATGGAATATAACAAAAAGTGTATCTCGAGCCGGTTTCTCAAACTTACCTACCCACCTTTAAGGTGTGATGTGTGGGTGTGTTTGTGCTCTGCTCAGCTCTGCTCTGCTCTGTGTGTGTGTGTTCGGTGTTTGTGTGTGTTCGACAACGGCATTTGTTTTCAAATGACCATGAACAGTAATTTACACACATCTGGTCAACTCCATATGTATATGTGGGTGTTCCCAAATGAAAGAAATGTGTTTAATCTTAATGTCGCACTGTCTGCACACAAACACACACACATACATATCATGCGCCCTGGTACATACACTATTCCGTTGTATTGGCTTTGATGCAATATTTCTTTGTGCACAGACACAGTTAGGAAAACAATGAGACAGTGTCATATGGGAGCACCTTAGACAGACCATGGAGACATGCTGTGACCCTGCTGAAGGGGAGCCAGGGCAGGAGGCTTAACATGTTGATGTAAAATATTTGTGTTGTACTCCTGTTATCACTTTAGAGCCCTTTTAGAACTTATAGGGTTATCATTTCAGCGCCCCACTCTCCATTGCTGTTTATGTTGAAAATAAAACTAAACTTTTCATAACCGATTTAAATGCGGAAACTGGGGGAATTCATCAGAATTTCGTATGACTTGACTTGTGACTTGCTTGACCTGAGCAATGACTTGACTTGACTTGCTTGACTCTCACCACAGTGACTTGGGACTTGCTTGAGACTTGTAGGTTAAGACTTGAGACTTGCTCATGACTTGCACATGTAGGACTTACTCCCACCTCTGCAGAATACACCTTTCAAAGATGAAAACAATGACCTATATTGTGTAACTTTGGCCAAACAAGTAGTCTTCGACTGAAAAGCTTTATATAATATTCTTTGCAGTTAACCGACTCATTTATAAGAGGTTGATGATTGCTTTTTCTGAAAGAAAAAAGGTTTTCAATTAGGTGTTTACCTTTTGGATTCACCAACATTTAGACTTACCTATTAACAAAACAATTTATTGCATTTTGACCCTTATTAGATCGATGCCCATGCAGAGGCAGACTGGATATGGTGACGATAAAGAAAGGGATACTACACGCAAAGGCCTCATTGCTGGAATTTAATTTGTCACATTGAGGTTTTGTGGCATTTGGCATAACCAAGGAGTTCTGAACTTGCCTTATATTTAACGATTATCAATTTTTGGGAATTGTTCATGTGTTCTTCTCATTTGGAATGAGCTGCGGTCCTCCACTGCTGACCTAAGGTGATTCTTCAAAAACTGCCACTGAGAGGTTATTGCTCTCCTCCCCCAAGGTTTCTTCACCTTCCTTGATGGAACCAGCCAATTAGAAAGCATCTCAAGTGCAACACAAGGGTAGCCCAATGGCTAGCCTATTGTAAACATGGCTAATCATTCCAAGTAGGGAAACAAATGACCAAGACCGATGAACAACTGCAGAGAATTGACAGGATGCAGCTTTAAAACATGACTAATGAATTGACTAAAATGATGGAGATGAAAGCAGCCAAGTAACATGGATGTTCAAACTGGCTTTTATGTTTCCCTCATGTTCTGTACAGTATGTACAATGCTACATATGATGTGACACATTTCATGAAGAGCAGCATCATTATTCTGAAGACTTTAGAAGTGGGCTTGTGCTATAAATTGAAGAGCAGCTCAGATGTGCTTTGAGGTGCGTCTTCAGCCCAGAGAGCCGCCGAGAAGCTGGGCGGCTGGCTGCCACCGTCTTAACCATCATCTTCAAACACGCTATGATCTCGCTCGCTCAGTGCTGGCATTCCAGCTGCTGCCAAGTAACACAGCTACAGAGGGGTTATAATTAGCTGGCTATACTGTCATCTGATCCACCAATCAACCAACCAACCAACTATACTGAAGCAAAGTGAAGATTCTGCTCCACTCCTCACAGCGATGCAATGCTGTGGATTTAGATTCACTGCTGATTGTGCCACAGCCTCCCTTTGAAGTCCATCGTGATGCTCATTCAATTTTAATGCCCACAGAGTCTACTGTATGTATGAACACTGAAGCAAATAGGACAGAGAGAGAGAAAGAGAGGGAGAGAGAAAACGTGTATTCTTAAATCAAAATACACACATGGTGCTGATGAAGGACAGTGCCTTTTAAAATACAATGATGTTCCATATAACTCACACATATAAAGAGCAAATGCAAGGACATACTGTAAGGCATTACAGTGAGTTTAATTAATAGGTCTAGATAACTCATGCATGGTGCAGTATTTGGACAATATGAGTTAATTAGATCAGGTATTTACCAATATTCATGTGTAGTGGTTATGTTGGGATGTAATATGTTGTCTCTGACTGCAAGTTAGCAATCTTAGCACAGCCACTGTGTTCACTGGCCTCTTAAAATGATGTTTCTTTGTCACTCGGTATTGCATTTATGAAAGACATCCACTTGCCATGTATTTTTGCGAATTAGTGTCCTATTCATGCCATGACTGTAGTATGTGATTTACTAATAATCCAGTCCAGTATTACATCGTTTCTGCATCACATACATTCTACATTCTTAGTATGTCAACTCAATAACATGCACTCTTTTCCATGCCACTCACTGATATATCATGTGTGTGTTTGTGAGTTTGGACAGGTTGCAATGCATGTATGTATGTATGTTTGCCTGTGAGTGACATGAAAAATGGATGCAAACCTGCACTCACTCCGTCTGTATATCTCTCACACTCACTATAGCTATCTCTCAACCTTACTCTCCTCTCCAGTCATCCATAAACATACGCATTACACAGCAAATAACTGACCAAGGCTGACTAGAGCATCTGACAGAGCATTCATTTGACAGTGAATACATGACGAAAAGATACATTTGCAACATTTAACATTGCTGCTGTAATGTTATCTGACATATTTGTTCTTGGGAGCTAAGAATTGTAATCTTCCCTGAAATCGTTGTCAAATCTTTGTCAAGATTTCAGGGCACTTCTAACCTAAATGCGCGTCTCAGCAGGTCAGTAAGAAAAGACAGTAACTGATTTGTTCTCAAGAGGTGCTCACAGGCTTGAGGCATTGAAGAGTAGGAAAGGGATGGATGGGATGTAGCAGAAGGCACAAAGGTACTGTGGTAAATGGGACAGGAGGCAGGCCCTGAATACAGACAAAGCGTGTGATTGTCTGACGTCGGCAGGAAGCCTTTTTGAAGATGAAGTTGGCCCTGTAGGCTCTGATGTAGTCTGCTTGCACTCAAAAGAACAAGGGTTTCTATTTATTCAGCACTATCTGATGTATCCTAGACGTGGTAGAATGATGATAATGTAATAGGGTGGTCAAATTAAAGTTGGACAATTTAAGTTTACGTCCGGGTGAACCTAATGTCATTAACTTGTACAGTGGACCTTACATGAATAGGGCCAGATATTATCAACATATGAATTCTCCAACCTTTGTTATACTGTAGCCACAGGCAGCAACAACGGATTGAAAAGTTCGACCGCCAATCACAAGAGACAGTTAGAACATCATTATTTCTTAAACCAAAAAAAACAATTTTCTGTTTTGCTTCCCTTTTACATTTGGCATTAAAATATTGGCTTGATATGTTATATAAAATCAATTGGTTGCTTTTGCCTGTAGCAAAATTAGAATGATGTTTCATATTGTGAAATTGAAGCCGGATAAAAAAATTAATTCCATAATAAAACATTGCATTTTACTGACCTTATGCAGACAGCTTGCAATAATTCAAACCTTCTTTGTGATGATTTAATCATATAGCTGTATATTCGATTTGAACATGGCATTAAACTGAAAGCTAGCTGAGCAGTGATGTTTTTATAGCAGCTCCGTATTCAAAGCATTATCATTTCACTCCTGAAACTTGTTGTGCAAGTGTATGATAAATCATCTCTAAAATGTATTTTCTGTGCTTTTTTTGCAGTCAAACCAACAGTGATCCACACAGACATGTTTGTCAACAGCATCGGGCCGGTAAATGCCATCAATATGGTGAGTAATACTGAAATATGGAGTTAATGTGTCATCTTGTTATCAATAATCAGCCTGACATGGCATGTATAACTAAAGGAGTTTATCTGTATTATAAAAATGTGAGTTCAGCCTAACTCTTTCCTCAGTGAGCTGAGCGTATAATGATCCGGAGAGTAGCTCTCTTCTCTGGCAGAGTTTCAGTGTCTTGCTCAAGCACACTGCAGCAGGGCAGATGCTTTCTGTCATGCTGGATTGGTGGGTCCATCTAATCACTATGCTGCCCCACTGCCCTTGTAGTGTTGCAACACAATGCAGGTGTCAATCTGCTACTTAACCACTGCACTGGCCTTTGCACCACATGGATAAATGAGGCTCATTGGTTGCATCTGCGTTGCTTCAGACACTTATAACATCCTGATTAACAGTTGAGCAATTGTGTTGCTCAACACACAGGCCAGATCTCAAAGCAGCATATTTGCAAATGGCTGCATGAATTGACAAATCCCAAGATGTTTGCACTCTCTAGTTGCCAAGAATTAAATACATTGAATACATTGAAATGGTGGAAAGTCAATGTGTTCACCAACAGAATTACTGTTTGTATTCTATTACTATTATATTACAGTCAGTTCTTTAATTATTATGTCCAGATACCTTTTTCTTTTTTATCTAATATTTAAGTAATCTTAACATGACCATACCATTGGTTATTTGTTATTTGTAACGTTGGAAATCAGGTTTTGTATAGGTTAACCTTGATGATGAACAAATTCACACAAGTGTTAATATTGTACAACTGTTGAAGTAACATTACAATTAACCTAGTAAACATGTGTTTTTAACACAATTTCTCATTAGATGTAAGAAGCTTGTGATTTCTGCTTAGCCAAGTCTGTTTCTTTGTTATATTACTCTTTCAACCGATGATCAGTTTGAGCCAATATGAGTGGGAGAACTGCTTGTTTGTACAATAGCAGATTCCAAAAAAACACATCAGTATATTTCTATTAATACAAATAATAATTGCACAGTTGGAACGGTTTGAAATGCTGAATTGCAGCCATCAAGTTCATAAAGGTAGGAGGACCCTACATTATGTTTGTGATGAGCAGTGTTATGTGTGTTACAATGCACAACTAATTATTGCTATGTTTGAAAACTGAGGAATAATAATAGAATGTACAGCTGTCATCCTGCAGTGCAGACTAAAATAATTGTTCATCTGATAGGGGAGTGGAGAGAAAAAAGGATTATAAAATGAGAGTCTCTTGCAAATCCCACTTCGAGGTTGTTTTATGTGTCATTGTTTTCTGTGGCATGTCCCCGCTGAGAACCCACTTCAATTGTAATTCTGCGGAGCAGTCTGCTCTACATGGTGGTGGCGTTCCATTTCACTTAGTCTTAGCTAAAACACCCACTCTCAATAACTGCAGTCACTGTGATGGTGGAAGAGAAGCATTGATGGGATCAGTTAGAAAATGTGTTTTTGCTCACATTAGGGAGTCGGGTGCATGTGTGTGTGTGACGAGGGCATCACGCTGAACTGAAATAATGCGCGGTCGGGCCGGTGTGTTCACACTATGACGTGACAAATATAGTGTAGTAGGTACATTTTCTAAAGAGCATCAAAGCATGAACATTATTTGTAATCATGCAGAGTTATTTGAACTAAAGCGAAATTGCAACTCATGTTAGACAGGGGGGAATGGATTGGACAGATGAACAGAGAGAAAGAGTGGGAGAGATTTGAAGAAGAGAAAGAATAATAAATGTATGCTTTTAGCCACTAGAGCTCAGAGTTCTTAGCTTTTCTTGGATGCGTTTAGCTTTCTGAAAGAAGTGTGGCTTTGCGAAAGATCCGAGAGAATATATTGTTGAAGGGGAAGAAATATGTTCATCTGACTCAGCAGGGCCCAGATGAAGATCCTAAGGCATTCAATCTCTCTCTCATCATTGGATTTGACCTGTCTGCCTTTCCTCCGTACAAAAAAGGATGTTCAAAGGATGGGAATGTTGCCTGGTGAAAATGTTGTTTTTCAAATCTCGTTTAGTGCTCTTTGGCATGGATTTAGGCTTTATTGTTGGGCTAAGCTTTGTCAGAAAGTTAATGCCTCTATGCCCTCTTGCACACAAATCCTCAGATTTCTTTTTTTCTCGACTGCTGTACTTCTCTTTGAACCTAAGGGCTCAACCATCCAAATAACTAAATAAATAAGAGACTGATAACCCCCTCTCCCAGGATCTCTTTTCCCTCTCACATTAGACCACATCACATATTTGCTCTTAGCTCTTCAACTGATGCAACGGCACTTGCCTCTTTCCATCGCTCATATGTGCGTTCTAACACAGCTCTCAGGGGCTGAATAGGGAACTGGTTTTGTCAAGCTCAGGACAAAGTGCTGCCAAGGCAGCAGGTTATGAGGTTAGGTAATACTTGAGCCAAACAAGGGGAATTATTAATTGCCCAGATGAACATTTAACTTTCAGGTTGAGGGCGTTAAGATGGTCTTTCAACAGAAGTCTCTAGTAGGGACAAAAGAACGTCTTGGCCTGAATAGAAACCATCTTGTCTGAGAAAATAGTGTATGCAAATGTGTTCCACTATTAAGTTTCCACTGGCATAGAAAAGATCCCCTCAGCCAAAAGAAAAAGAGTCGTGTCTTTGCAGCCCGCAGTTTGGTTTGATCACATTGCATCTCAAAGTAAAAAGCCACATATTGTTGACAGCACTGGTTGCAAACAATACTGTTTGCAAGGATTTCCTGACAAACTGAAACTTTCATCTAGTGTGTTACATACAATCTGTTCAGCTTCTAAACTAAAAGTTAAACACAACATCCTGGTAAAACTGTGTTCTATCCTTCATCAGGAATACACCATCGACATCTTTTTTGCTCAGACCTGGTACGACAGGAGGTTGAAATTCAACAGCTCGATGAAGGTTCTGCGTCTCAACAGCAACATGGTGGGGAAGATCTGGATCCCAGACACTTTCTTCCGCAACTCGAAGAAGGCCGATGCCCATTGGATCACCACGCCCAATCGCATGCTTAGAATCTGGAATGACGGTCGGATACTCTACACCCTCAGGTAAAATGTTAGGGATGCCTGAGATAAGATATTTATACAAATAAGTGATTTGTATATTCTGTAGCACTCATACATGGTGCTTTAAATGGTGGGTGTAGTTCAATATTGAAATGATAGCTAAGATGATGGGGAGTTCAGAATCTATTGACATAAATACTTAATTGTAGTGGTCTCAGCTGAATAAATAAGAAATAATAGATTAAAGTGAAAATACATGGAAACAAGTCTTGACTCAACAATTCAACAACTCAATAAAAGGAGCATTACAACTGGACTAAGAACTGATCATAGCTGTGCAGCATTTAATTGTTGATTTTAATTATCATCAATGTGTTGCCACTGAGGTGATTCCTGCTGTTCCTAGTATTCATCACAAGCTATACGAGTACGGTAAGGTATTCTAAAGTACCCCAGCATTTATGGCCTCACTTTATAAATGATTCATTGTATTGATTATCCTGAATAGGCCCAGGGCAATTTACAAAATTGTAATATTTGAAATGTGATATTAATTTGTGGGCAAGAAATGTATCCTACTGAATGAGGTGTTGTTAGTGACAACAGCAAAACCTGCATTGCCCTAAACAGATGTTTTTAGGCACACTTTCCTCATTAGGCTAGCATATGGATTTAAAGGCAACACTATTTATGCTATTGTTTATTTTCCTTAGTTGCTGATATGTTTGGGGAGGTTTTTGTTGTCATATAGATATTTTGCTTATTAAAGATATTGCTATATTACCTTGTTTGCCTGAAGAAAAGGAGATTTGACAAATATCATAACCATGAAGTTACAGCTCTTCTGGAGTGAAAGTACTAGACAATGTTTGCTTTTTAGCCGCCCAGATTGAAATGAGTACATGCTTAATACTAATATGACAACACACTGTTTGTGATCGTAAACCGAGAGAACTAACAAGAACTACGTAAAAGGTGTGAAACAGGATAGGAGGACAGAATGGAGGCAAATATTGATTGTGCTTATTATCATGTTTTGGATAGCATCATAAATAGAGCGGATGTTTAGACTGACAGCACAATATATCATCAGTGATAATGAGAGAGAAAGTGCACTATTCTGGACTCAATCAAGCCGTGATGGATGTTCTGCTTTGCAGCACACTACCCCTTCACTTCATTAATTAGTTAAGGAACTCAGAATGTAACCACTGGTTAATTAGGATGACCGCTGTGATTGGGAGGACACTGATACATGACAATAGCACGTTAATGGATGGGTAAAGTCATTTAAGGTCATTCTCTCATTAAGGGGAAGTTTAATGACTTTGCCTGCAAACTCCCTCAAGTGTGAAAAAGAAGAGAAGCGTGTGTTCCCTTGAAAAACATCAATTTGGTTTAGCACACTTCTGATTAATAATTCCTTCTGTTGATCATAATAAGGCTAGTGCCTGCATTTCTAACACATGTAAATTATAGTTTGTAATATATTGTTTTTATTTTTATTTAAAATGTACAGTATATTCACAATTTTTCTACAGTAACTAAGTGGATGCAAATATTGTGTCTCGGCAGGTTGACTATTGATGCAGAATGCCAGCTTAAACTGAACAACTTCCCAATGGATGAGCACTCGTGTCCCCTGGAGTTCTCAAGCTGTAAGTTTGGCCATATGCTGTTCCCCTACTGTTTTACCTCTTCCTCGGTTTCATCTCAAACACACACACGCTGTGGCAATGAACAGGCAACATATGAGCCTAACAAAAACATCATTTACGGGATAATTAAGCAACAAGCCAAAACAACAAATCCAAGCTCTTGAATTCCATCAGACCACTATAAAAAAACAAAACAATAATACGAGTCATGTGTGAATATAATAGACGTATGCGTGAAAAACAATGAATGGATTTACTGTACAGTTTGTGCATAAGTGTCACAATATGAAGACGAATACTAACATTGGTCAAACAATTTCATCCTTCTATTGTATGTACTGGCATTTGAGTAAAGGGATTTCATATTAGATGTCTTATTGCTAAATGACCGGAGGCAAAGTACTGATTGATTTCCTGCACTCTGTCAATACAGTGACATTTCAAAAAGTGACAAGAGTTCAAATGAGTCAGTTCCTGTATGTTAGAAGACGGTGTGGGTAAGTTATACTAACGAGGCCGCTCAGATCTACAGAGAAATGCACCATGGGGTACTCTCCAGAGAGAATGGTTCCTAAATAGCACCAGAGCAACAAGAAAGAGGAAGCGAGGGGGTAGCAGGCCTAAAAATGGAACAGTAGCATTCATTTCAATTTGATGAAAGCCATGGATGTTTTCAGAACTTTGAAAATCGCTTGATGTACATTACATGAGCTCAATCTCAGAGGCAGCAGGCGGAGCAGTATGCAGCAATTTATCACACGGGCATATTTTCTCAACATGTGCCAAAATGCTACAAAACATTGTAGCTTTTCTAGTTCAAACTCTTCCGCAGTGGTTTCTGAGAATGTTTTATCGGCACACACGATGCACTATATCATTTTAGTTCTTTCAAAATTGCATTCTCAGTAGTATGTTAATCACAGCAACTGATTCAACAAGACGAACACTTTCAAATTATAATTTACGACATTGAGCTGCAGGAGCATTGTTGTTCTGGCTTCCCAACAGTACACTGAATCAATAATTTGTCCTGGATGCATTGCAAGCAGAAAGCATACTGCCAAGCCTGCCGGGCTGTAATGTGGCAAATGGGCAGATCCTTCCACCGCTGCTCCTCTGAGGTCCAGCATTACTGGATGTCTGAGAGCACTTTAGTAATAAAGCCATTTAAAGTTCGAACTGAGGGAAGTTTTATGTGCATTATTCAAGCTACTCTTCAATCAGCTGTACACATCTCATCACTAGACTGAAGACAACATGACATCAGATAGCCCTGTTTCAAATTAAACATACTTTTAAACATCTATTTAGACCCTCCAGAAAAACGCGATTATGCGATCGCATAATTTACCGCATAATCAGCAAAATAGCGCATATTTTTAAAAGGCCGCATATTTCTTAAAAGGTCGCATAATCCCCGCATTTTTCCACACAAAATTGAGGAAAAAAAAAGTTAACGTGAAGTAGTGATGTCATCAGCTCGCGCAGGTAAACAACACCGTAGAGTGAATGTGTGGAACTCACACGAGAGAGAAAAGCAACAAGATCAGCGCCATATAGATTATTATATAGCCTACTATTATACTATTATTATTATATACTATTATAACTATACTATTATACGGCTCTGACCAAGATGAACAAATCGAATCCATCCCATTTGCCTACGAACATTTCTGCTAAAGACCGGGCAAAGCAGTACGCAGATGTCTTGCACGAAAGTGGGGGGAAACTATTCTGCACCCCGTGCAACTGTGTGTTGGAACATACAAGATTGAAGCTGGTCAGATAACGAACGGGTAAATGAAAACAGAATGAGGCGGAGGTGTGTGTGTGTGTGTGTGTGTGTGTGTGTGTGTGTGTGTGTGTGTGTGTGTGTGTGTGTGTGTGTGTGTGTGTGTGTGTGTGTGTGTGTGTGTGTGTGTGTGTGTGTGTGTGTGTGTGTGTGTGTGTGTGTGTGTGTGTGTGTGTGTGTGTGTGTGTGTGTGTGTGTGTGTACCATAGGAACTCTTTAAAAGGGCTTCCTTTCATTCAGTAGTAGCCTAGTAACAGGGTGTGGGAGAAGAATCACCTTTTTTCCGCCTCCCGCATATTTCGCAACTTTTCGCATATTTCCGCATATTTCGCAACTTCTCCGCATATTTCGCATAAAAACCCCGCATGTTTAATCGCATAATCAAGGATTTTAGCCCGCATAATCAAGGATTTTAGCCCGCGTTTTTCTGGAGGGTCTACCTATTTAATACAAATGTGGACACAATAAATTAATTCAATACTCACGAATATAATTCAATTTTGATAATGCATCTGCATTGTCTAAGTGAATCAGGGTAAGACTAGCAAGAGTATTATTGTGATTCAAACAACTGGAGAACTCCCTCTTGAGGTGATAGGATTACTGGAATCCAACTTGTGGAAAGAAGTAGATCAATATTGGATTTTTCCCAAGCCACTGATTGACTACATTTATTGTAAGAAGTTTGTTATATAATGTTTCTTTCCTGGAACAGTTTATTTGCAAGCTAGCTGACGTTTTGTGCATGGATTACTCCCACTGTACTTGTTTTAACAGAGCTCACTGTAACTGTGCTCTTATCTGTTCAGATGGCTACCCCAGGGAGGAGATTGTGTACAAGTGGAAGAGGAGCTCAGTGGAGGTTGGGGACATTCGCTCCTGGAGGCTCTACCAGTTCTCCTTCGTGGGCCTGAGGAACACTTCTGAGATTGTCAGGACTGTCTCAGGTAAGAAAACTATCTTTTATTTTTTTAACAAGTCTCTGCTATTTCTTCCTTACTCATTTCGTAAAGGCTGACTGAATATTCACGTTATTTGCCAGAGACACCCCGATGGTGTCATTTGACATGTCGTGTGTGTGACAGAAGTGATTTCTTGAACATGTTGCAGCGGAATAGGGATTCCACAGGCGCTGCACGACACAATATTCATGTTGGGCATGATGGATTTAATCTGATGGAGTCGTGAGCGTGACTTCAACATCACAATAATATGATGATATTGTGCAATCTCATATATGAAAATATGAGAGGTATTAATTGTATCCAGCCTAACCACGAATGCCGGTGACTCTTCAACTTTCACGCTGAATCAGATTTCCCATTCTGCTATTCCCCCAGTCCTATCCATAGACTGATCTGGTTCATATCTGTTGCTAGGGGTTACAACATAAACTTTTATAGAAACAGAGACTCAGGATGTTTTTATCCACTTTTAGTTCACACTGCCTGAAGTAAAATCCATAAAGGGTCCATAAATGCACCTCCTTCATATATCAGCTCCCGTGTGCCATGGGCAGACAAATGCTGCTGGCAGAGTGGGATGTATTGTAAGAACAATACATCACGGATGGCGTTCCATTCATTTAATTCATTTTATGGACCATACTTCAGTGTGTGGTGACTGTGAACCTCCTTAGTTTCAATGCTCCAGCAATTCATATTTAACTCTTCTACAGTGTATGGTTGCTACTCCAAAATTGGCAGGTGCAGATGCCTGTTGGAAGGTTTATCAATCATTAATCAATTGGAAAAAATTACAATTGCCAGTCATTGTTTAAACCAACTTAGGTAGAGCGTAATAGTGGAGATACAGTACCGAAAAAATACAATATACTGTATATATATTTATTTTAAAAAATGTTTTTTTTTCTAGAGACTCATCCCATCCCACATGTGAAGTAATTCACTGACATTCAACAGTATATTTATGGTTTACCTGCCAGACTCCATTCAGATTGATGCAGGAATATGAATGTTTGCTTGAGGAAAAACAGCTGCTTTCCCCATACCATGTTGATGTTTGAGAGCAGAGCCACTATATGTTTGCATGCATATGCTTGTTTGTCTATGTTTATATTCATGAGCTGTCGGTAAGTAATGTATGTAATGTTCTGCAAGGAATTATATGTATTCTTAACGCTGGTCTCTGGTGTGATTTAGAGAAAGCATGCACTAGGGCTGTGCGATTATGGCAAAAATCATAATCACGATTATTTGGGTCAATAATTGATATCACGATTATTAAATACGATTATTCATTGGCTTTGAAAAAACGTATGAACGTATAATTCAACTGAAAAACCAATACAAAAAATTAAATAAATGATACATTTAAATAAATAATATCAAAATAATAAATACCAATAAACAAGATCAACAAATATTTTGGAGCGCACTTCCCAAAGCTGCTAAACATATATAAATATGATAAATACAAATAAATTAGACCAAAATTAATTAGATCAAATATGTTGCAGTGCACTGTCACAACCTAGCAAAGCAAAATAATAGTTTTTTTCGATTATGTTGTTTTCGTAATTGTGGCAGGCCAAAATCGTAATTGCGATTAAAATACGATTAATTGCACAGCCCTAGCATGCACGCAAAAATGTGCTTCAGCCTGAGGAGAGTTTATTCTCATTGGATCAGCTCAGCATCCTGGAGAACTTATGATAAACAATTAAATAAGGGTGTATTATATTTTATGTATAAGTAAAACATTCCCACATGAATATAAACAGTTAAAGCGATCAGAAATAAATAACCATTTCAGCAAGTATTCAACTAAAGGTGCAACTTTAGAGGTGATTAAAAGTATGTTTCCCAATGAAGGCATCGCCAATGTGAATCTTTTTTTTTTAGCTTCAACTCGATCTTCTTTTGATGAGATATTACATTGATCCTACTCTGTCTGCTGTGTGAGTATTCATCAGGAGAATGGATTATTTTTGGCTGTACTCCATCTGTTTAGAATATACTACGATAGGCTGGAAGGCTACAGAAAGTAAAGTCATTGTTTTATACGGTAGCATTAATATTGTGATCATTTGCATCTTAGGATCTCAGCATGTTACACAGCGCAGAGGTTTGGATTCACAAATGAGATAACTTAAAACTCGACATAGTAAAAAATAACTTTACAAATATCTTACCCATAGCCAACAAATGTAAGATCATGTTATTTAAGAAGTGTGCCACAAATGTATTTATTTCCCTCCATTTCCTGAACCAACTCAATTTATAGTTGTTAGTTTTTTTTCAGGCAAGTCAAGACTTAACTCCATTATGATTTATCCAATCTAACAGCATCAAAACAAGTTGCAAGAGAGCACCATGAAGAACAAGTTACATTTATTGTGCTCCATTTGGAAACATGATACCATAAAATAATTTTACAACAAAGCTCAATCAGACATGTGTAAAAAATACACTTGTATGCACTACCACACAGAGTAGTGTATGGGAATAACTGAATCCACCCAATTGTTCTGTTCTCCACCACAGTTCAACAGTGTCACTGCAACATAATGCTAACAGACACACATACACAGAGGCATGTTGTGGTGTGTACAGTATAACCACGTTTTAAGACAAAATGAGTGGTGCAAGTGGTGCAAGTTAATTGAAAAATATGTTAAAAAACATCGAAGTAAGTTACCTTTCTGTTCAAATCTAAACATGTGTCTAGTGGCAACATGAAACGGCAATCTGCGTAGGAAGATGAGCGGAGTGGAGAATGTGCAGCGTCCTCTGACTCTCTCTCTGATCTGGTTTGTTTTTCCACAAACAGCCATCTGCTCTGTTGTCAGAGCAGAGCACCTTGGCTGTGGCTAAGAGACCTCTTGTCTCATTTTGCAGTCAGTTTGGGTGTCTGACCTGCTTCAAGATTCACGAACACAACATCTGTCTCAAAAAACAGTTAGTTAGGGCCCTATAATTACCCAGTCATCTCATGTTCTCGCCATGCATGGGTAGGGCTCCTAAAGGTTTGTTAGAAATGTAGAAATATTCCCTATGGTATAGCTATAATCTGCAGCTTTTGTACATTTTGAGAGTAAATAGGTACCGGTGATTTAGATGTTTTTAAACGTATATTGACACTATTGCTTTAATCTTGTTGTGTAAAGCAATTTTGTTAAACATAGCATTCTAATATTTTTGATAAGAAGAACAATCACTGGGATTTGTGTTGTTGTTGGTACATTGACCTACTGTACAGTGAAGACCTTGGACTCAAACTTGCATTCCAACATCTTCTGTTTTATAACACACTGTGTTGGTCACCATCAAGTCCCTGAATCCCTGCCTGTTGAAGGGTGTCTGTCCTGCCTGAAAGGTTTAATATGGTATAGTTATTCTTTGGAAATAAAACCTTTACACAGTATTCCAGTTCAAGGACTCTGCTGAATCACCCTCAATTACAACTGAGTACAAATAGGTCAGGTGAGGCAAGAGAGCGACACATAATGGTAAGCTGAGCAGACAGGCAGACAGGTGAATTGACCAAATCCAGACAATGAAGTAGGTAATAGTCAGAGGAAGAGATTTCCTCTCATTCTAGGAGACAGGTTAGTCTCTGCAGGCTCAACTTGTCACAGGACTCCAGCTTTAATGAATATGTTCCTGTATACTCTGAGTATCTTTCTTTATAATAACAAGTGATGCATGATTAAAGAAGGATTGAGTGACATCGTAGTGAAAGGAGGCCAGTGTCGTGACATGCCATCTGCTGCTCGTATCCAGTTGTGCTGTAGCTTTTTATAGGGGTTCAAGGTTCAAGGTTCTTTATTGTCAATCTGACATAGCTACAGAGTAATTGTGTAGTTGAAAATCTTATGTCACAGGCTTCTCCAACAATGCAATGCTTATAAAGGCTATGTCTGTTTTTATTTTGATTCTCCTCCCTCTCTGAGCCAGTGTCCAAGGGGCTTGGTCTCTCAACATGTCACTTCACATCAGAGCTGTACTGCCTGGAAGCTCATACCTGCATTTACAAACACAGAGACACACACATTTGCATGCACACACACTATTTTAGGCCAATAACAAAACATTCACTGATGCTTGTGACAAGCAAGGACTCCTTGAAAGGACGCCAGTGGACAGAATAGAGAGAAGGCTAAAAGACATAAAGAGGATTTTGAAGGTAGGCCAAAGCACTAGGTAGACAGCTAACATTGCTGTTAAGCTAACCTCAAAGGTTACACCTAAGTGAATGGGCTATGCTTAAAGCTGGGAGCTGTGTTCTCACCCGTCTGCCAGGCTGGAGTTCAGGGATGAGCATCGTAGTGCAGACAAGGACAGAGAGGCGACAAAGCAGGGGAGAGGAGGAGCGGACCAATCATAAATAGGGATTATAGAAGGGACGATGGTTATGGCACTTTTTTGGTCCTTCAAAAGGGAAATAAAAAAAAAACAATAATTTTACTAGTCTACAAGAGTGAAATGTGTTGACCTACTGCATTTGAGGCTATATGTTGGGGATTTATATCAATGTAATTTGGGTTATTATATTTGGGACAGCTCTGGCTTAGGTAGTAAATGGGCGTCTACCAATCAGCGGGTCAGTGGTTCCATCCCCAGCCGCTAGCAAAATACCTCAAATTGCATCCGTAGGCATGTATATGGTACTGAACTAAATGTAAGTGGTTTTAACTGGAGTGTCAGCTAAATGACATGGAACATATTTTATGAGCAGCAATATATGAACTACCATTTTGCTGTATATAGCTTTGACTCTATTGTTGGTTGATAAATGTATTTACTCAAATGTACCAAAACACTTTCAGAGTTTGTCAAAAGATCAATAGCCATGCATGTGCATCCAACAACAGCTATGTGGTTGCATTAGTGAATAATAGGTGCAAGTGTTTGATTGATAGAGAGGAGGTCAAAGAAGATAGATTGTGAAGGGAAAACCAGGACAAATGACTAATTTGTTTTAT